ATGATGTTGCTGTGCAACCACACCAGCACAAACAGTCTCGTTTGGTGCCCTTCATGGGCTACTCCAAAAAAGAGACACAGTTCCCAGCCAGGTCACCCGGCCCCGCTGGGGACCTTGCCGTGTAACAATTAGAGTCTCAGAATCCCTCAGCAAATGGCAGCCTGGTGGGCACGGAACCCCCGTGTGAGCCCCAGCAGCTGCCTCCCAGGGACCACACCTCAGCCCCACCACACGGGGTGCAGCTTTGCTTGCAGCGTCTTCAGGAGCCGGGGGCGTGTCCGGAGCTCCTGGTCAGACTTTTCCACACCTCTACCCCGAACCCAAGCACCAAGAACTGTCCCCTGGAAGGTGAGTTGCTTGCATTTGGTGCTGAGCCCGAGATGGGTGATTTCAGGAGCACAGTTCAGGGGGTTCCCCACACTCCAGGCAGGGTGTGCAGTCCTGGGGTGGTGCTACACCCGCAGAGAAGCTCCAGGAGCAGGTAAGTGATGCCTGCTGCTTACTGGGCTGGAGGCAGGACCATGTCCTCGCTCTGCTGTTTCCTGGGGTGGATTTATCCAGCATCTCAGCAGCTGAAGCTGTTCCCATCTAAGTAATTTCATTAGCAGTGAAGGAGAGACAAGCCCTTGATTCCATCACCCATCCTGCTTAGTACCTGACCTACAGAATCATGGCTTGTCTCTGGGACCCAGTAAGTTTAAACAGCAGTAAGAAAAATTTTGAGTGGCTGAGTTTCAGAATAATTTCTTTAAAATCGATCTGAAGTTCCTGTGCTGAATCAAGCAAACAGGAGCATTTACATCTCCTGGGAAAGGACAAGAAACCTTCCTGTAAGAAACCTTTGCAGAGAAAAGACAAAACATTAAACTGCCAGCTGTGCATCCTGGAGAAACACCAGGACCCTGAGTCCTTCAGGGACAGGAATTAAATCACACCATATTTCTGGCTAGTTTTGTCTCATAAATAGGGGACATGCCACTCAGAGAAGGTGAGGAAATGGGGCAGTGCTTCAACCTGGCTTTAATCCTCCCTGGTCCTCCTCTCACCATGCTGCCTCTGGCAACACAGCCAGATGTGCAGGACTTTTTGGGACAGTGGGACTGGGAGCCTGGCAGGGCTGGACTGGGCCTGCAGAGCTTACAGAGCATCACTCTGTTCTCAGGGTGCTACAAGGACGGGGCAACACCAGCAGGACACCAGCTCCTGTGGGTTCATGGGCTGGGGCAGGGGAGCTGTGGAGCGGCACTGCAGGAGGCACATCTCCAGAGGAGGCACCTCGCAGCACCAGGTTTCACGGGGAAGGGCTGGCTGGGGACAAAGGGCCGGCTGACAACGGGGAAAGGCTGGGCAGTGGTTTGCCTGGTTTTCTCCTCCCCCCCAATAAAGAAGCAGGAGTGTGATGCTCGTTTTGTTCCACAGCTGGAAGCCAAGAACGGCACTTTGGGGCTGAACAGGAAATTGGGACATGCAGATGAGGAGGTGCAGGTTGTTTGGGGAGCGTCAGAAAACCTGCCAGCACACTCCTAGGGAGGGACAGTGGCTCCTTGAGCTCGGCGTTGGCTCCCGGTGCCAGCTCAGTGACTATTGGACAGACCCTCCCTCCTCCCTCCTCCCTCCTCCCACCTCTGCCAGGGCTGGTGCCTGGAATGGCTGCAGCAGCGTTTTACTCCTCCCTTGGGCTCACTTGGGTCAGTTCATTGCACTGATCCAGCCTGTGGCCACCCCACTCAGCAGCTGAAGAACTTGCCAGTGAATGACAGGATTGGTCTCTTCAGCTGTTTTAAGCTGTGCTGAGTCCCGGCCCCCCCGGGCTGGGTTTGTTCAGCTACACCTGTGGCTGCTGAGCTCTTGGATGAAACCTTCCACGTGCTCAGGCTCCCGAGAGACCCAGTGCTGCAGCAGTGAAGTGCCTCAGACTTGTGCTCCTGGTTTTCTCCTGCTCTTTGGTAGAGGCTTGAAACCTTTTCCTGATTTATGTTTTGCATGAGTTTCCAGCAGGGATGAGATTTGTGAGCTCAAATTCACAGCTACACTTTCTGCCCAACCAGTGGGACCTGGCACAACATCACTGACTATGAGCTTAATGGCCAGGTAGTGTGGTACCCTCTCCTAGCCCATAAAACAACCAACCAACCCACCCAAACCAACCAAAAAAAAAACAAAGAAAGAAACTCTGTAAATAATGTAGAAACTGTAACCAAATCTTCTCAAGTCTCTTACAGCTGCTTCTTCCCAAAAGTTTTTGCAGCAACAATAAAAACCCACCCCAGCCCCTGCATGCCCTGCTTGGATACTGCTGTTTTGGGGAAGATGTGGCTCTTTGGTAGCTTTCCAGCAAGACTGGTGACACCACTGGGTGCTGTGTGTGGCTGCCACGGTGCAACCTTTCTGCACAGGTGCCGTTTCTTAAAAGCAGCACAGCCTAAAAAATGGAATTTTTAAACCCCAGGTCATTTCCAAATGAGGCACATGGTGTTAATAAAGTGACTCGGGAGACCTCCAGCCTCAGTCCTTGGGTGGGGGGAAGAGTTTGAAAGCAGCAGCAATAAATCCTTATTTTAACAGCTTGCTTTTGAAAAATGTGATTAGGGAGAGAGGGCTCTCAATTTCGGTGCTGATCACCTGGCCTCAGGAAGCAGCTCGACAAATCCTCCCATGCAAAGCCAGGAGGAAGTGAGACTTCCCGCAGGAAACTCCTTGTTCCCTGGCTGAAGACAGGGCTGCCTCCTGGTGCTGCTGGAGAGCTCGCAGGCTCCTGCCTGTGCTGCAGCACCGCGGCTCGGCCGGGGACACCTCGAGGGGACATTTAAACGGGGTGGTGTCGGTGGGGACCGAGGGACAACCCTGAGCACAGCAGCACCCAGGACCCTCCCCTGAGCGGGGGAAGGAGCCTGCATGCTGCAGCTGCCCAGCTCCCTCCGTGTTCAGCACGACGGTTGCCTTTAGTGAGAGGGAAGTTATGAGACTGAGAGCAATGGTGAGGATGTGCTTACTTCAATAAAAATATTATTTTAAATAGCCCTTATTCTAAGGCCAAACCTGAGCTTTTAAATAAGTCTCACAGATGTATTCCAAGCTCTTTCATATTGCCAGGGCTGCTTTCACCTTCTGCTGTGGCCTACAGCAGAGGAGGGCTCAGGGCAGGGTTCTTCCCACCCCCTGGCAGAGCAGGGGCTGCATCCTGCTCCAGCCCCTTCCAACAGAGCTCGGCAGCCTGGGCTGGTGCTGGAAGGAGACCTGCTGCACACAAACATCCTTTGTTACTGGAGTCCTGCAGAAGAGCCTCGTTAAACTATAAACCTAAACTTTGTCCTCCGCTGTACAGGTCAAAGTACCTAGTAAGTATCTGAGGTATGTGCCAAAAGTGCAATTAAACACCTCGTAGGAGCAGCCACTTGGTTTCCAAATGTCCCCTTGGCCTTTTTATGTCGTTTTTATTGTGCTTTAACTTTCTTATATTTGTTGAGTGACAATGTGACAGCCGAGTGCCTCACCTACCCACTCTTTAGTCACAGTGCCACCGTCTTTATTGATAGCAGAGATGAAAAGAACAACGCACCAAGACACCTTACACAAGCCCATATAAAAATAGACTGTCACACACTCATTAAAAAAACACTGCTCATTAATTATCACCTCTACAAATGGGGATATCTTCTGATTAAAGTGCCCTAAAACAGCTTTTCAAATGTGTTACACATCTTGAAAGGTTGGTTTTATTTTCAAATAGACGTTTCCTCTAAAAAAATACAGCCAAACAATATTTTTAATAAAGTCTGATAAAAAGATTCTGAATTTCTTGATCCATAGCAGTATCAACATATAGAACTGAACGTATTTAGGAAGATAGAAGGTGACAAGTAGTCATTGTTTCTGCACAGTATATGAAATGAAAAAGCTCCCTCCTCAGTCATTAGCGAGCGACCTCCCCCACGGTGAGTAGCTGATGGAGTTGTATCCAGGAGGCAGGTTCCTTGGCTCTCCAGCTGAAAGGTTCATTGGAGCCTGGTGCCCACAGTGAGACCAGGACTGCCCCATGGCCACAGAAGCAGGAGGGAAAGCTTGTGCAGGCAGTGAAAGGGCAAAGACCCATTTTTATTACACCTTTTGTGATAATTATTAAAAGCCTCAATGGAAACCACCCCCTACAACGTACTGTGGGCAATAAAAAACTGTAACACTAAAGAGATCTCTCTCTCCCCCTTGCTGTCTGTGTTGTACTGCACTTGCCACCAAGGCCACCTGAAAACTGGCTGCCCAAGAGGAAGAGCCACATCTGGCACGACTGCCCCACTTTGGCTGACACACACCACAGTGCAGCAGCCACTGCTGTGCTGCAGCTATGGTGAGAAGCTCTGAGCAGACAAATTAATACAACACGAGGAGCAGAGACTTCTAAAGCACAGAGATAACCAAGTGTAACCTCCCATTGTTAAAAAACAATCTTCTGGAACAAACCAGCATGGTCTCACCATTGCTTGCTCATTATCCAGCAATGAAACAACCACCCGGATACTTTGTGTGTTTAGATCTAGGGGATAAGCCATTTTCTGTTTAATTTTGTTGCACTGTTCCTACCGATGGCAAAACCTTCTAGTTTTCATTACAAAGAACACGCCTGCAGAATGGTTTCAGTTGCTTGTCATCAGGGTCCCACTGTAAAAGTCAAAAGCACAGACTTTCACTACACTGATGCCTACGAGTTTGCAGAGCATGGATTCGTGCTCTCTGCGTGCCACTGGTGCCTTTCAGCCGAGTCTTTAAGCTCTACAGCCTCTCTAGTTCTTCCTGCACTGATTTTAACACCAAGACAATAAAGCTATTTTGTTGCAGAACTGTAAAACAAATCAGCTTGAATACAGCTTTAATACAAAAACATATTTTCCATATTAGTCCAGTTAACTGAGGATGATAAAAGTGGTGAAGAGTTTTTTCTCCTTTCCGGCTTTAAAACTCTGATGGGGTTGTTCCTGGCAGTCCAGGCTGCAGAGAGCAGTCCCTCACATCCAGGGCTCCCATCCTTCCCAGACTCTGCCAAGAACGTTGGGATCTGTCGCCTGATCTATCAGGCACCTCACTTGGGTCTCTTCTGAGAGTCCATCCTCTGGCTCCTTGGCTCTGACGTTATGATCAGGATGACCACGAGCCACAGCTGCAAAATCCTTGTAAGAAAGCGACTTCTCGTGGCCCAGGCGAAGCTCATCGCTGGAATTGAGAACACAAGAACAAGCTCTTACTAAAAGAAACAAGCAAGAAAGCCGAGATGGGTTTTAAAACACAAACCAGCACTTGAACACCATTCAAGCAGCTTTATTTTTCAAGATGTGGAGACTGCTCCACAGCTGTAGAAGGCTTGGCCAGCGAGGACTGGGGATTTCAGGTGCCCTTTACTAGTGAATATTCACCAGGAGTATTTCAACCTTGACAAAGGTCTCTCACTGAAGGGAGGATGCAGCAGTTCACATCCAAGCTGATATCTCCTTATTTGCCCTCCTGGTCTGTGTCTGCAAGAAGGATTTTGCTGCCTTTTCCAGTTCAGCCTCGACCGCAGCAGGGACTCCTCCCAAGTCCTGCACTTCTCAGTATTTGTATGGTTTTAAAGCAGGCTTGCTTTCTTTGCCTTTTTTTTTTTCCTTGATTAATCCAAAATGTCTTTTTAAAGGAGGATGGAAGGGATTAATTGTACTGTAACTGAACTTTAAAGACATTCTGGCTTGAGCCAGACTTGACTAGACTGACATAAATAACCTGAGCATGCCATCAGACTTCAATCTGATGTTTTTGGGAAGCAGCTTACCTCCCTGCCTCCCATACAGCTGGTTTGGGTTCCATTGCAGAAGCACATTGATTTAAATACTACCCCTAGCCTAAAAGTTGTGGAGACAAACATACAGCACAGCAGTCTGAGGAGTAAGAAGTTAAGCAGGCTCACAGGGTGGGGACGTGCGCGCTGCCAGGAACAGTAAAACTGTTCAGGAGGCCTGAGCTGGAGCAGGAACAATCACGGGGAGATATCTGGTGTTTTGGCTGGCAGGGTGATTCACAGAGCTTGTACGTGGACCAGAACAATCCTGACAGGAGGCTTGTTGAAATTTTGCCCTGTCTGCCTCTTCTCTTTTCCTAGCTGCCATTCTATCTGAAGGGAGCAAAACCTGACGCAGGAGATGCCAGAGCTCTTGGTGGAGCAGCCTGAAGCAGGAGAAGCATCTTACCAAGTGATTGTTGCTGGGTTGGCACCCGTCAGCTTTCTTCTGACACACTTGACTTTTTGCAAAGGGTACCAGTTTACTTCAGATGTGTTTATTTCCTTAATCCACGTGCCTCCTTTCTTCAGCTGTCTCTGTTCAAAGTTCTAAAGAGAAAACAAATTTGCCCTGTTTATCATAAATCATACACTTAAAAAGACCTTTAAGCTGCCAGCTCATAACAAGTCAAGCCAGTAACTCTTAAATACAGATGTAATGGAGGGCAAAGTAATGAGATGGTATCTAGCCAGCCTATGACTTAAAATTTAATTTACAGCTGGAGTTACTGAAGGGCAATTGGTTTCAGATTTTTTTCCCTGTAATTCTTAGTTTGATATATACTGTTGTTAGGTAAATTTAAGGGGCTTAATGCAAAAAGTTGAAAATACTTGTGGTGCTGCATAAGTGACATAATGTGATCAAAAGACATCCACATTTTTAGGATTACCATGCGGATAAAAAACAGTACGTGGATAATAGAGACTTGTGCTACTATTCCTTCTCCATCAGTACAGAATCCTGTCATTTTTAAATCCTTGAAGTTCAGTTTCTCTGAGAACTCAATAAAACAAAGAGGCTAAAAGGAGTAACTGTGAGTGAGCTTCAAGAAATAATTCCTTTTTGATCAGTTTTATCCTTATTACAGTTTAAGATTTTTCACAGGGAGAGAAAGGAGAATATCCCACCTTCCAGTCCAAAGAAGGCTCTTTCACAAACACATCCATTGTGCTGAGGAGGAGATCTGGATCTGCACGGTAAGCCCTGAGGGCATGGACCATCACACTGTACAGGAGACCCCACTCCTTCACTGGCATCAGCAGATTAACAAACTGGCGCGTCAGACGAAAAGGCATCAGCTCTGGCACGCCCAAAAACTAGCCCAGGGGAGGGACAGTCAAAAGAAAACAAGAATTAAGAAAGATTAGAAATAAGCATTTTGTTCTTTTGAAGCTTTGAAGCACTTTGTCACTTAACTGAAAACAACACAAAACATGGTAGAACAAGGACACAGTGTGACATCAAAGCTCAGCTCATGAATATTTAGGGATAGTGGTTGAAAGCATGGCTGAACTACACAAAACACCACCCTGCAGACCCTGTGAAGCTACAGCTCCCTCTTTGTCTGGGAATATCTGGAACCAGGGATTTTATTCTAACTACAAATAACTTGCAAAGATTATTTTGCATCAGAACGAACGATGGTAAATGAGGAGTATCATATTTAGTACTGAGAATACACGAGTAACTGCACATAGTAAATGCAAAACTAATGAACTGTAATGAATGATAAACCCCATACCTGTGTGGCTGAACCAAACGCACACCCGAAGTCTATCCCCACCATGCCACCTGTCTCCTTGTTGATCATGAAGTTGGAGAGATGCCTGTCTCCAATACCAAGTATCCAGTGGCTGATGCACATCAGCGCGTGAGAGCTGGCGAAGTGGGAGCGCAGGGACAGGAAGGCTTCAGGAGATGTGCTCATCCCCACAAAGGCTCTCCTGCACAGAACACAGGTCACTGGTTGGGTACGACCGAAACACTGACACCTGTGGTCTCACCACGTGCGCCCGTTACCGGCGCGCTTACCGCAGCAGGTCTTCTGGAACGCTGCTCTCCCTGCCTCTGAAGGACAT